AAGGTCCTTTCCAACCCCAACCATTCTATGATTCTATGTTGTCCTCAGGGCAGCTCTGAATCACACAAACTGCCAGCTGAGCTGCTCTCAGAGGAGGGCAGCAGAGTCCCCCAGATGCCAGTGCATCCTGCCATAAAGACCAAGATACGAAGTTTTGTCTTTTCATGTTGGAGGCCTCAGGAACACCCCAACTGTTCCCAACAGCTCCAGCAACTGTGTCACCTGAACCATTTTTGTCCCCTGCTATGTGTAGAGATGAGGGCTCAGGCACTGAGCTCTCTCATGAGGTGCTGATGCTTCTTGTACCAGGTCTGGATCTCATGCTGGTATAACCATCATGCTGCCTTTTCTGCTTTGCCATCCTACCCACCCAGAGCAAGTCATTCATGGTAGGGGGACTCCAGGGCCAGGGAGCTGCAGCACATCCAGGGATTAAGAGATTTCCTGCAGGAAGGATCTTGGTAAGGCCAAGTGCTCCAGGACCATCCTTCCCCCTTGCAGTTATACCCATTCTCCTAACGCATAGTGTGGCAACCTCTCAGTTGCATGGCCAGATGTGATAGCTTACTCCCACCAGATGTGTGCCCATGTCCTTCTGCATATCATGGGATCCAATACAGAGCAGATTCTACCCAGAGACTAGCAGAATTCAGATCTCCATAGGTCTTTTTGTCAGAAAGGAATCAGGACTAGAGGAAGCCCTACATACCAGAGCCTACAGCACAGTTAAAACTGGATGTCACTGGTGTGACCTCCTCTTGCTGTAAAACTGAGTCTCACATTTTAAACAAAGATCTCCCCACCACTGAAAGCAATCCTCAGGACAGCACCAGAAAACCCACATTAGACAGATACCAGGCAGTGAAAAAAGACCCTCCCCTCGTCTGCACTCAGCCACACAGAAAGGAGAAACCTACAGTTTTCACAAACTGATCCCTGCTGCCAATGCTAAACAAGCGTCAAAGATACAGGCACGTAGACTAGCACAAGGGAAAGCTGGCTGTTACAAGACCTAGCTCTTCACCTAATTTCACTGGAGACTCTGCTGCCTGCTTGCTGGAAAGAGATGTGATAAAAGCCCACAGAGCCTCTCAAAGGAGCCTGAGTCTTACCTGCATGGATCAGACCTGAGCTTCCTCTCCACAGTGTCACAGCTGGCTAAGGGATGGGGTCAGGACCATGCTTATGAAGTTGGATCTGGGTGGTGAGACAGGGCCATGGCTTGCCTTAAGCTAACAGGTTTAGATGGGCTCTTAGGCACAAGTTCTGCCCTGTGAGGGTGCTGAGGCGCTGGCACAGGGTGCCCAGAGAAGCTGTGGCTGCCCCATCCCTGGCAGTGTTCAAGGCCAGGTTGGACAGAGGGGCTTGGAGCAAGCTGCTCCAGTGGAAGCTGTCCCTGTCTGTAGCAGGGGTTGGAACTGGATGAGTTTTAAGGTCCCTTCTAACCCAAACCATTCTATGATTCAGGCTCAGAGCAGCAACTTGAAAGCAGAAGAGGGACTGAGACCTCATAGAGACAGAGGCAAGGAGTTCCCTGGCTTGGTGGATGCTTAAGGACAAAGGCAAGGAGCAGCGTTTCCCAGGATGGCGTGCAGGAAAGAGCAGTGACATCTCCCCAGCACTGCTGGAGAAGCAAGTAAAAAACCAAAGTGAACACATGGGAAGAGCCTCAGGGAGCCAGTGGCAGGGTGGAAGTCCCCAGCATCCGAACCACAGCTGGAAGAGATGGCAAACTCATCCAGGGACAGTGAGGAGGTACAGAGATACATCCACTGGCAGCCAGGCAGAGCACGGACCAGGAGTTCCACCAACCTAAGAAGCTAGGAGCTTCCCTAAGGAAGAGAGAGCTGTGCAGCCCCCAAGAGGCACAGGTTTTATGGCCTTTGTGGAAAATTCCATCCCTGCTTAATCTCCTGGGGCTCCTGTAAGGTTGTGGCTTGGGGAAAGGGACCAAACAGGAAAGAATTAGAGGTAAAATGCCTCTCTTTTGGCCGCCCCCATGGCTGTGCCAGGAGTTAGCAGCAGCGGCTCGGAGCAGCCAGCCCTGCCTCCCCCTGCTCCTGCCGCCTCTATAAACACTCAGAGCTTACTCAGAAGATTAGAAAGGAACAGGGCAAAAGACAACAGAGTCTCTTTTGTAACGAGGAAGGATTATGGCATCAAGTGACCGGCTGCAGCTCCCAAGTGGGTTTCAGGCTCCTTAACACACCGTGTCTGTCAGGTTCAATCCCCCCTATGAGCCAAGGGGGCATGAGGAGGTGGGACGTGGCGTGGGCCACAAAGGACCCAGCGAGGACATGTGTGGGACCAAACCTCCACAGGCTCCAGTGCAGCTCAAGAGCCCATGACTGTGAGTATTTTGTCCTTCTGAGAGCAGGTAGATTCCTTCAAGGTCTATCCTTCTGCCTACCCATGACCTCCTCTTGCTTCATCTGCTTGTTCCCCATCTCTGCTCATGTCTATTTGCTGTCTTATGTGGTGGGTAACGCACCTGATGCAGGCTTGTTGTTGAAGGATTCCCATTGTCTAATTAGTGTCAGTTGACCTTCAGGAGCAATGGTTAGTCCAGACAGATCAGGCAGTGGCAGGCAGCAGCTCCCTGGGGTACTGGTACCACACAGGGGATGGCTCTTGATGGTGCTTCCTCCCCACAGCTTGCTGGTGTGGCAGTGCTGGTGCTGCAGTGAGTCACATCCCATCACGTACCTCAACCCCAAATGGTGCTTTGAGTGTGCCAGTGGCATTCCAGGGCAGTCCCACAGAGACAGGCAGGCAGGGGAGTGCCTTAACCATTCAGAGCAGGAGGAAAAAGCACTGGGAAAAGCCCCATATCCCATACTGGAGCAGAACAGCAGAGAGGTGGGTGACATCCATTATTTACATGGACAGGAGCTGAAGTTTTCCATGTTTGGTAAAAAGTGAATCTGTATTTGACTTACGCAATGAAGAGTCTCCCTGAGCACTTCCAAGACCCAAAGTGTTGAGGGAAGAGCCAGCATTCTTTAAGCATATACATACGTGCAATCTCTAGGTCTAAGCCCCATGCTCTGGCCAGAAATATGTATGGAAACAAGGCAGGGCAGGTACCAGCTCTACTCTTCCGATATAACCATGAGAGGGGACTTGGGGGGAGTTAAGACAGGGAATCCCAAAGGAGGAGCAGCACCAAAAAGCCAAAGGCGGGACAAAGATGCTATTTGATATAGGCTTTGCTGGCTTATTTCACAGCACCAGCTCACTGGGACCTGAGTTTCCCCCCTGCTAAGTGTAGGTCTTTCTCTAAGATGCTTAAACAAGGAGCATGGACACAAACTTACTTGCCTTCAACTGTTCCTACAGAGCAGTAAGGTCTGGTTTGTCCCTTATAGTGCTTCTTTGTCTCCACCATTCAGGTCCCATAACTATTAACATTATTGCTTCTGTTAAATAGCAATGTCTGCGTAACATCCTGGTAACCTATTAAGATAATAGAAATTCCAATAGAGATACCAATAGTTTCACACTGGATAATTATTTCTAAACCAAGGGATCATTCACCTCCCTGCCTGGCATGGATTAAACTGGTGATTTATATTAACTGGTCTGATTATTAATTGCTGATAAAGAATTATTTGGCTACTCTCCTGGTGTAATGGTTGGACTTGATCTTAAAGCTCTTTTCCAGCCTAGTTGATTCTATGACTCTATTCTATTTATCTAAGGTTAAACTAGAAGTGAAATGGGGATGCTACAATGGGGATTGGGAAGCATTTCACAAGCCTGAATGCCTTTTTTCATCCACTGTGATTTACTGCACAAAGGATGGTTGAAGGAAAAGGGGGGTGAAGCTCCTGGAACCTGTGGCCAAACTCCATCTTTCAGCTCTCTAACAGGGAGAGCTGTTCTGCCTGTGGGAATGGGACCAGCATAGTTCAGGTATGGCCCTCAGCCTATATTTAGCAGCTATACTTGTTGGGCAAGAACTACAAAACCTATCAGATCTCCAGGGGTACCTTCATCTGAAGCAGTACCAAGAAATCTCTCCTTTATGGATTTTTTGCTTTCATTTGGTGTTTTTTTCTGGGGGTGATTTTTTTTCCCCAACAAGTAGAGTTACAGAAACAACGTATTTGAAGCAAATACTTTAAGAAAAATAAATAAATGGGGTAAGAGACGTTGGAGTTTGTGATGCTGAGAATTAATCTTAAACAACTGTGGGGGTGGGATCTGTGGGAGGGAGTTACGTGTGGGCTTTGTCCCCTCCAACCTCCCACCCCCACTTGAATGCTGACCATCAAACACTAGGAACCAAGGAATCCACGAGAAAGTATATTCTCCATCACTATATCCAGTTCACATGCAGCTCAAAGACAAGGAAAATGATGGCAAGCTCATCAAATCCATCACATACCATAAGGTTCCTCCTGATTCTCTATGTCACTGACTTTATCTTACCTGTCTTTTGATCCTAACTTGTTTCTTCCTTCCTTCGATCTGGTTTGCTTGCCAGTGTCCCTGTCTCCTCCCTCTATGCAAACTTGCTGGCAGCTTCATCATCTGCTCACTCTGTGTCCACTAGGATCTGTGATGACAGTGACATACACCAACCGTGTGGCTGACGCCCGCCTAGGCACCTTCTCACAGCTCCTGCTCCAATGGAAAGGAAGTATCTACAAACTGCTCTACTCAGAGTTCCTTATCTTCATCTCTCTCTACTTCACCATCAGTCTTGTCTACAGGTAAACCTCCTTGTACATTAACACTAACACAATCCCTCACTCTCAGCTTGTCCTGGAGTAGGACAACTGAGCAGTGCAGGGCTGGGATAGTGATGCTGCTGAAGAAGAGCTGGCCAGCCACTCACCAACCCCATGTACAGGAGCAAAGGTCCTTCCTCATGGCTCCAATGCTGCTTAGCAGCTGATAAATCTCCTTTTTCTGTCCTGGGAAGTAACACAGTTTCTCTTCTCTGGGATTAAGAGGTGCATTTGATGGTTACCTACAGAATGAGAATGTGTAGATCAATGGAGACCATGATTGAACTGGTCCTGGAGATGGCCCACAGCCAGGAGCTTTAGGCAAGAGTTTCCCTTGTTACACAACAGGCAATGCCTTGGGTACATTTCTGAGAGCTGACATCAGCCCTGGGACCACAGATCTGTAATGAGGCAACTGTGGCCACTCTGATTTTCATAGAATCCCAGACTGGTTTGAGTTGGAAGGGACCTTCAAGCTCATCCAGTTCCAACCCCTGCCACGGGCAGGGACACCTTCCACTGGAGCAGCTTGCTCCAAGCCCCTGTGTCCAACCTGGCCTTGAGCACTGTCAGGGATGGGGCAGCCACAGCTTCTCTGGGCACCCTGTGCCAGCGCCTCAGCACCCTCACAGGGAAGAGCTTCTGCCTAAGAGCTCATCCCAGTCTCCCCTCTGGCAGGTTCAAGCCATTCCCCTTGGCCTGTCCCTACAGGCCCTTGTAAAAGAAAATCTGATGAGGAAAGAGGGAGCTCTGTGCTGATCACAAATGCAGCACAGAAGCAGGGAAGTGGCTCTAAGAAAAAGACAGGAGCTCACGTAAGAGCAGAGCTTGGGCTCACATTTTGTGGGGTATTAAGTGAACTGCAGTGCACACCCAAGCTCTGTGTCAAACCCTTGGTACGACACAGCACTGAGTATGAAAAAAGTGGTAGTCCCTGACATCAACCTGCATCACTTACACCTGTCAGTGACCATTCTGGCTCCTTTGGACTGGTCAGCAGGGTATTTTGGGAGGTGGGCTCATGAGCAGCGTTCACTCACAGCATCCTCATGGCATGGCATGACAGTGTTCTGACTACACATCCTTGGCTTCCTTTGCCAGGCTCCTATACCTCAGCAGGCCCAACAAGGCATAGACTCTTCTTTGAGAATGATGCTTCTGTTTCTTCCTTTTAGGCTGATCCTGAATGAGAGCCAAAGGCTGATGTTTGAGAAGCTGGCGCTCTACTGCAACAGCTATGCTGAGCTAATCCCTGTGTCCTTTGTGCTGGGTAAGGAGCTCTGTCTGCGAACAGACAGGGAGGGGAAAGAGGCAGCATTTCTTCTCCCTGGTTTGCTATAGCTCTGCAGGCAGGCAAGATTCACTCAGCAGATCCCTCCCTCTGCCTTTGCAAACCTCCCCAAGCATCATTTCATGTCACAACTATGGGGTATGCTCCCAGTACACAGCTTGCACTGGCCAGATGTGCTGACATGGTCCAGGCTCTGCCAGGAGGGCAGGCACTAAGTAGCACCAAATAAACCATGAAATCCAGACTCTGACTTCAGCCTGGAGATCTGAATTGCACAGAATCAGAGAATGGTTTGGGTTAGAAAGGACCTTAAAGCTCACCCAGTTCCAACCCCTGCCACAGGCAGGGACATCTTCCACTAGACCAGGTTGCTCCAAGCCCTGTCCAACTTGCCGTTGAACACGGTCACGGATGGGGGAGCCTCAGCTTCTCTGGGTAACCTGTGCCAGTATCCCACCACCATCATGCCTGCATCCATCCCTGTATGAGCAGCACCAGACATCCTATACACAAGCACTGACATCTCCCACCCCTTCAGAACAGCTAACGTGTTCAGCTCACCTCTAGGTTTCTACGTGGCTCTGGTGGTGTCCCGCTGGTGGGCTCAGTATGAGAGCATCCCATGGCCTGACCGGATCATGAACTTGGTTTCCTGCAATGTGGATGGGGAGGATGAGTATGGGCGGCTCCTGCGTCGCACCCTCATGCGCTACAGCAACCTGTGCAGTGTCCTGATCCTGCGCTCAGTCAGCACCGCTGTCTACAAGCGCTTCCCCAGCATGGAGCACGTGGTGAGGGCAGGTCAGTGCTGGTCCTGCCTTCTGCACCACACAGCAACACCTTGGTGCTGGTTTGGGGGCAAAGAGCCTTGGAAAGGGCTTCATGACTTCCAGACTGGAGATAGGATAGTGCTGCACTGCGCTCAGCTGATGTCTGCAGTGATGCTCACTCTGCTCTACTGAAATGATCAATGGTTGATGTTTCCCTATTTCACAGCATGCTCCTAAGAGTGGCTGGAAGGTTTGTTTGAAATATGAAGTGTCTCTATCCAAGCTTTTATATGTAAGAAGAGTGCCAAGTTCCTGTTTGTCAATGTAGATATGCTGCAGGTCACAGAGTAGCCCCGGCTGGTCAGATTAGGATAACGTGGTGCAGCAACTTCACTAGGAGCTGCTCACCCTGCTCTGGAAGCAGGAAGAGAAGAGCTCTCTGTAGTAAATGACCCTGTGCACAGATCTACAGCAGCGCACAAGCAGACCTTACCAAGTGGAATGTTCATCCTCCCTCAGGGCAACAGTTTTCCACTGGGCAGGTAGGAATTGGAGCCTCGGACCTCAAGTGCTGGGCTCCCTGAATCCTCTCTGAAGATGCTTCTCAAGATACGACATTTCCCTCCCGAAAGGGAGATGTCAATTAGAACCCTACTCAACTGGTTTCCCTTTGCAATTCAGAGAGAGAAACAGGCACTTTTAGGACACAAGTTACCCCATTCTCAACAAACATCTATGTACACTAAGCAATTGCACCCTCAGCAGTACTTTATCTCCCTGTTGACTGTGATCTGGTCAGATGTGCTGTAGACTTCTGAAATGAAATGAGATAAAGCCTGCCCCTCACACTTCTATAACTCAAGGTTTTAACAAGATTCATCCTCTTCTATGTGTCTCCCAAAAGCTGAGTGCTTGAGTATTCCCTGTTATTTTTAAGGAGAGCCAAGGTGACCACCTGAGATTTAGATGTTTTTGTTTCAGACCGGATCCGTTTCTTTCTGCCCTTTACAGCCATCCTTCTCCCATCTACTCTTTTCCATCCAGGCCTCATGACACCAGAAGAGCACAAGAAGTTTGAGAGCTTGAATTCCCCACACAACAAGTTTTGGATCCCGTGTGTGTGGTTCTCCAACCTGGCTGTGAAGGCAAGGAATGAGGGGAGGATCCGGGACAGCGTGCTGCTCCAAGGCATCCTGAATGTGAGTGCCAGGCAACAGGCAGCTATCTGGGATCCTCACCTGGGACCCTCTGTGGAACTGCAGGGATTTCCAGAGTCAGGCAAGGAATAGGAATGGTAAGGTAGGACAGTGAGCCAAGCCTGCCCCTAAGGATATTACACTGGAGGTCTCTAGGATACAGATGGAAAGCCACAAGGAAGCACGTATCTGGAAGAGACCAGGAGAGGTCAAAAACATCCCCCAAAACAAGGTCTGTTTGGAAAACTTCACTATTGAAAACTCTTGGATAGTCCTGGGATGCTCCACATAGTGTGGGCGTGCTCCACAAGACTTGGCAACCACCCCTGCACAGCCTTAGAGGAAAAGGGTCCAGAGGAGATCATCCTGCCTGGTATTCATGTGCAAAGAAGGCCACATTCTTTCTGTTACCTGGAGTGAGATGTCTCCCTCTGGGCTACTTATCCAGACTCACTGTGTAGTCAGGAGAGAGAAATGGACACTCCTGAGTTATTCTTTGCCTAACCTGTTGGCTGCTCATTTTGGGAGGAGATAATCTCTGCTATGAGTTCCTCCAGGGCAGGTCTGAGACCCTCCTGGTGCTCTGCTGGGGTGAGGCTGAGCCCCAACTTCCAGAGGAGGTATGAGTAGGAGGGAATGGGCTGGAGCAATGGAGGGCAGTGAAGCTGGAGATGCTGAGTGTCCCCAGCAAGGAGATGACAGGCTCTTCCTTTTCCACACTGCAGGAGCTCAACACCTTGCGCAGCCAGTGTGGGCGACTCTATGGGTATGACTGGATCAGCATCCCCTTGGTCTACACTCAGGTGAGAAGGGATCCCCACACCTATTGTAGAATCGTAGAATCAAACAGGTTGGAAAAGACCCTTAAGGTCATCACATCCAGCCATTACCCCAGGACTGCCAAAACCATCACTAAACCATATCACATATCATTGCTCCACTGCCTGCTTGCACACACTGCCCCATTTACGCCCATACCTCACCCACACATGGACCATCCCCTACACACATTGGTGCTCTCACATATGTAACTCAGCAACACACACCTAGCCCTTATTTCCCTAACTTAAAGCAACCCACTGTCCAGGAGTACCCAACCATGATGTGTGCCACATGGGTGCATGGAAACCACAGATACACACAGACCCACTCCCTGCACCATGCTGCAGGGATCACATCCCTAAATCAGTTTCTTTCCACTCAGCAGAGCTGAGATGCATCTGCCAAGCAAAGCTGCTCCAAGCAGGCAGGGCAGCTCTGATGGAGTCATGCCACGTGTGTGAGCGCTGCGTGCATGTTCTCAGGTGTCTAATAGCTCCCTGGATGCCAACCCAGACAGACGCTTTGGCTCCTTTGTCAGATACGATCCAGCTGCTCAGATAACACTAATGCACTGCACAGTGAAATGGGAACAGCTTCCATTTACATGGTGCTGAAGGTTAAATAGGGAGCACGCTGGGAAACTATTTCTGTACAGGCCTTTGTTCTGCACATTAGGAGCAAAAAGCAATATCATAGCACATCTTTGCAGTACACAACCCATTCTTTTTATGGGTGTTCATCCACACTGTCATTCCACGCACTCTCTATCCTGCCCATCACCAACATCCCTGCAAGGAACTCCATGGCTAGCTTGAGAGTCTCGTGATGCTGGGTGGTTTTGTTTTGAGCCCTCTTTCTCATTGCATGTAGAGACCATGCAAAAGCCTCAGCTGCTTTTAATCTGAAAAGGGGAAGTTTCCAGTCCCGTGACTGCAGAGAAAAGCACAAAGCTCAGTGAAATCTGGGCATGCAAGCAAGTGAATACACAAAAGGTCCAGCTTGAGGACCAGGAAGGAAGGAGCAGCCCTGACAGTGTGGGATGAGCCACGAGGGGCTCGAGATAGCTTTCAGGAGAGGCAAGGACAAGAATGAAAAGAGTTCACAGCACCCCTTACCTCGGCAGCAGAACAACCAGGCAGCCATGTGTCAGTCATTTCAGCTCTTTCCCTCCAGGATGTCACTTGCTTTCTTTCTGTGATGCCTACACAGATGTCATTCCAAGGACAGGATGGAATGAAATACAGTGTATTTCATGTTACATATGTGTATTTCATATTTACATAGCAACGTAACAGCCAAAGGGCAAAGAGCATATTTAAAGTCAAAATGCATCTTCCTGCAGAAAGCAGAGGAGAAGCCTGTCATAAGCAGATGCTCTTTAAGGTTCTCTCCAACCCAAACCAGTCTGATGCTATGATCACTGAATCCAAGGCTTTCAAAAGGCTACAGATCCAGGAGCAGCTTGTTGCTGTTTGGAGATGTGTGGGGTGGAACTGAAGAGAAAGGCTGGGAACACAAGCTCCTCTGGCATCTTTCCCAGGTGGTGACCGTGGCTGTTTACAGCTTCTTCCTGGCTTGTCTGATCGGGCGGCAGTTCCTGGATCCAGAAAAAGCATATCCTGGCCATGAACTAGATCTCTTTGTGCCCGTCTTTACGTTTCTGCAGTTCTTCTTCTATGCTGGCTGGTTAAAGGTAAGTCCAAGAAAACTACATCTGGAGCTCGAATCTGACCCAGCCTCCTGCTTTAAACCATCCCTTTTGGGAGGAACAGCATTGCTCTGTTCAAGGTACATCATGCTTGACTCTGACCAACAGGCCTTCTTCCAGTGGGGAAAGTGGTGGAGATGACCATGGTGACCTTTGCTATGTTCTCTCCATATGCAGGTAGCTGAGCAGCTCATCAACCCTTTTGGAGAGGATGATGATGACTTTGAAACCAACTGGCTCATCGACAGGAACCTGCAGGTAAAGTGAAGGCAGGGTCCTCTGATGACCCTCACCTGTAGAGGAACACCAAGGCAGGAGTGCACCTAAGGCTTCAGCAAGCCCTATCAGTGCAAAGTTCTGCAACACCTTCACTATCCACTTCCCATGCCTTCAATGGGTGGAGAAGCAGTGCCCATTACTCTTGTGCTTTCCTGAGGTGGCTGCATGTTAAGAAGGGGCCTAGGATTTCCAAACGGAGATGTCAAGGAGAGCAGGAGAGTGTAAAGCTTCCCAACAAATATGAGGGTGATGGGGGACAGCTCAGTGTTTCCCCTCAGCAGGAGAAGAGAAGGCTCCTTAAGGGGAGACCTTAGAGCAGCTCCAGTGCCTAAAGGGGCTGCAGGAAACATGGAGAGGTGCTTGGGACAAGGGCCTGTAGGGACAGGCCAAGGAGAATGGCTTTAACCTGCCGGAGGGGAGACTGAGCTGAGCTCTTAGGCAGAAGCTCTTCCCTGTGAGGGTGCTGGGGCGCTGGCACAAGGTGCCCAGAGAAGCTGTGGCTGCCCCATCCCTGGCAGTGCTCAAGGCCAGGTTGGACACAGGGGCTTGGAGCAAGCTGCTCCAGTGGAAGGTGTCCCTCCCCGTGGCAGGGGTTGGGACTGGATGAGTTTGAAGGTCCCTTCCAACACAAACCATTCCCTGATTCTATGTGTAATGCTGCTTACCCCATTATGACACTTCTGCTGTCCCCTGCAGGTCTCCCTTATGGCTGTGGACGAGATGCACCAGGATTTACCCATTCTGGAGAAGGACCTATACTGGAATGAGCCTGATCCCCAGCCCCCCTACACTGCAGCCACTGCTGAGTACAAGCGCCCATCATTCCTTGGCTCAACTTTTGATATCAGGTGAGCACAGCCACGGGGTGTCAGAACATTCTGCCTTTACACCTTAGAGCAGATCTTGTGAAGGAGAGTAAGAGCAAGCAATAGTATTTTCCTCCATAGTCTGTGAAATCTCACCCTAAGAGACTTTTAGGCTTGTCCAAAGACAATAGCCAACATCCTCCACTTATAAGGATGCCTCTGACCTCTTTTCCATACTCTCTACCATGAGCATCCCTATTGTGGGGGGCCTGACACACATCTAGTAACAGCACAGGAAAGAGATGCTTGCCACTGGCGCTGCATGCAGCCTCTCCCCCAAAACCCATCTCTTTTTGTGGCAACCTAACAGCCTGTTCTGCCTCTCCCCAGCATGCAGAAAGAAGAGATGGAATTCCAGCCCCTGGAGCAAATTAAAGAGAATGAGGAGGCCAACCACTCCACACCATTACTGGGGCACCTGGGCCGCCTTCTCGGTGTGCAGTCACCCAGCTTCTCCAGGTCCTCTTCCCGGATGAACCTGCTGCGCAGGAGAGAACCCACATCCCCTTTCTCCCATTACACATACCAGGACATGGGCAAGGCTGGAAGCCCTTGCGGCATCAATCAGCCAAGAGGAGACTCCAGCTCACAGGAACAGTGGGACAGTGAAGATGGAAAACTAAGAGAGTTTGATGCCTTCATGACAACCCCATTCTATGAGAGACCTGGTTTCTACAGCGCTCCACAGACACCCATCAGCTCTATCCCTATGATTTTCCCTTCTAGACGCCAAGGTCGCAAGAAGCCTCCTGCACTCTCCAGCATTGCTGCGTGCTCGACTTCTCTTAGGGATGTTGTCAGTACCTCCCCTTCCAGAGTCAGTGATGTGTATAAGAGCCAAAGCTCCATTGGCTCGGGTGCAAAGGAAACATTTATTTGGCCAACAGACCGAAGCAAAGGTTCTGACTCACTGGTTGTAACAGCAGAAGAAAAGAGCAACCCTTACGGTAAAGGCAAAGAAGGCATCACCACAGGAAGCCCAGGAGCTCAGTCCACAGCATCGGATAGCCCTAAGTTCCCCTTCTTGGCAGAGTCCCCAGACTATGAGAAGCAGGGTAGCTTCAAGAGCCTGAAGAGCTTGAAATCTTCCCACCCTCCCTGGCTATCACTGGAGAGCACAGCATCACCTACTCCCAATTCTGAGCACTTTCACACCCCCAGTAACAAAACCCCTGGAGGCAGCACCTCTTTCTGCTTCTCCTTCACCCCTGTAACATCCCCAGTGCTGCAGAGGTCCCACATGGGGAATATGGGTCCTGATGCTCGCAGCCTAAGTTTAGAAGATGCAGCCAGTGCTGCAGACCAGCAGCCAGCAGAGGTTTCCAGGAACACAAGAGACACTGGAAATGGAAGCACTAATGCTCCCCCTACAAAAGAGACAAGACGAGCTGAAAGTCCATCCCCCAATGACTCTGGCATCTCTCTAGCTGAAGGTGACTATGTGGGGCTGATGGAGGTGATCATGGAGACCAGTGAAAGCACATGTGAAGAGCAGATGGACCAGTACAGCTAGAGAGCAAGAGGCACAGTTCTGTTGAGATACTGCAGTATCTTTACACTTGGCCACACTGGCACTCACCCAAACAGGGCAACACAGCCAAACCACCTACTGCTGGAACATAGAGCTAAAGCCCAGCACTAAAGACTCACTGCTACTGGCATCAGGTACAGTAGCAGACACAACTTCAGTGCTGTACCAATAAAACCACCAAAAACCCCTCTACATCTGTAGCAGAAGACCTTTGAGTACAAAGTATTGCAGGTACGCAACAGCAGAGCAGTGTCTCAGCAGGTACCAGCCTGAAGAACCTGGAGTGCAAGTGTAGCTCAAAACAGAGTATTAATAAGGACATCTCCCCCTCCTCACCACAGCAAGAATTGGAATGTGAGCTTTATGTTAGTGTGTCACAACACCCATTACAAGTCTCAGGCATGACTTGCACTACTGACAAGATACTCCAGGGAAACAGACTGAAGCAAGACTCACCATTTGTGAGGCAGACTCACAGGGCCTTGATGTCATTCCCAGCAGTGTTTTCCAGTTCTGGAAAAGTAAGGCAAGGCAAGTGTCTACCAGACCAGATGGCTGCAGGCAACAGGATTTGCCCTACACATTGCTTCCTTTTCCACATCACATCTGCCACTGATTTGACAATGCTCAGAGAAGAAGTTGTTTGGACGGCAGCAGAAAGCATACAGCTTTGGGGTTTTACCGTCCTCCTTAACAAAATAAAAGCAAGGCTGAAGCCCATGACCATCTGCTTCATTTCCTCATTTTAGTTTCCATGCAACAATAGGAGTTAAGAATAGAAAAACCGAAATTTTTCTACTTCTGTCTTCAGAAACAGCTGAAAGCATCCCATTTCACAGGGGGCATGTGACAAACTCACTTCCCACATCCCTCCCCAACATCTGCCCACTCACTGCCTTCCCAGTACTGCCAGACCCTGGCACAAACACCACCACCTCCTGCTGCAACTGCTGATATCGTCAGCAAGGCAGTTCCTCCAACACTGCTGTTCCAGTTCAGCCTGGTGCCAGCAGAGCTCAAATCTGGATTCACAGGACATTTTCTCCACTCAGAAGCATAGCACCATTTGTTAGGCAGGCACAATGCCAAGTGAGGCACCAACACCCTCCTCCCCCCTTCAGTTACTTTATCTAAATTCACAGGGACAAGCTCAGGAAGGCCAGATTTTCAAGCTTTCCTTGTGCTTTATGGCAACAGCTTTGAATAAAGCATTTAGATCACTTTCATCACCAAGAAACTCCTGCAGTGGGTCCCACTAGATTGGAAATCCAGTTATTTTTGTAAGAGCACAAAGCAAGTAAAACCTGATCCCTCTAATAAGAGGTAAGAAAATAAGTAGGAAGGAATGTATTATTCCGTCCCTGCTCCATCCCTGGCAGTATTCATGACCAGGTCAGAAAGAGCTTTGGACAATATGGTCTAGGGTGAGGTATCCCTGCCTGTGGCAGGGAGTTGAAACTAGATGATGACAAGATCCTTCCCAGCTTTAACTGCTCCATGATTTTGATTCCTTCATGACCAGCTTAAGCTAACTGTCACAAAAGAAACTACAGAGCACAATCCCACGAGTGAAGGCCTCTTGCTACCAAGAGAAACAGCAAAATCCAACTTGAACCAAGTCACTTTATTGGATGGAGGGCAATACACAAAACACAAGAGAAAAGAGGGGTGATATTTGGTACAGAGTATAAGAACTGTTTATCTAGACAGTTGGAAATGCATGCACAGCTGGACAGTGGAGTCCCACGGAAACCCAAAGGGCAGCTCTTGCCATGACTTCAACTGTCATGGTCACTGTCCCCAAGGGTATGCTTGTCAAAGAGGTACTCCGCCATGCCATACTTTGGTGCCCCCATCTTCCTCAGATTGGTCACATGGTCACCCAGCTCCTTGATGGCTTTGACCTGCTCATCCAGGTAATGAGTCTCAATGAAGTCACACAACTGAAAGGGAGAGAAAAAGAGTTGGAATGTAGCCCTGGGAACAGCTTATCCTGCTGCAGCAGGATCTGAAATCCTACCCATCCTCTCTACAGACACAGAATGGCAATTTGAAAGCTGCAGCCTTTAGTTGTACCTTGGCAATGCCAGAACAAGACCAAACCAAGTGTGCAGGCTCAGCCAGCACGTTTGCTCCAGAACTCTGCAGTACATCAGCTCAGGAAGCCTCCCCATGGGAGGCAATAGCAAAGTCACTAAACGGATTTAGAAACTCCCACTGCACAGCACTTGAATTCGTCACATGAGGATTTACATATATATAGAATGGTTCAGCTATGTTATTTCTTTTTTAAAAGTCCCTAAAAACTTAGGCAGGACACTCCTACGAGTACTATGACAAATCCCTTCCTGATACTAAGAAGCCTCAATCCAGGCTTGCCAGTAACTTTCATCTGTGAAGAAAGCTGTGTTTTCAGGTACTGTGTTCTGAAGTGTCAGGGCTTTTAACATTTGGAAGAAGCAGCTCCAAAATTTGATGACAAAAAAGCCTTATGACAGAAAGCCTTTATAGGCATCCACTGGTTTAAAGCCAGAACTCATCCCCCACAAAAGCAAGACTTTTTCTGTAGAGCTTTATGTATTTCTCCTCTTCAAGATGCTGTTCATATAAGAGCTCTCTGTTCTGTGAGCAACAGAGGGGCTTGCACAAAGCCATGCACCTACTGTTCTGTAAGGTGGGCCCAGGCACCCTAACACACTGCAAGCAGTCCTTGAAGGAGATGGCAACAATCCTACACCAAATGGTTAAGGTACAAGCCAACACCTCAGCGTTTCCCTTTGGAAAGGCTATATCACCAGTTCACATACTTTTTCCATCTTCAGTAACATCAGGGAAACAAAACTTGCCACCATTCCCACACTATCAGACAAACAATTGCAGAGCTCCATTCTCAGCTCCAGCATCCACTTACGTGTGGATCATTCTTTTCAGTTGCCAGTTTGTGCAGCTCCAACAGTGACTGGTTCACATTCTTCTCCAGGTGCAGGGCACATTCCATTGCAGTCAGTCCATTCTCCCAGTCATCGCGATCTGGCTTCTAGAAGGGGAAAGCACATGACCATAATTTCTCTTAAGTACCCACAGACCAGTAGGGAGGGAAGTCTTTCAGATCAGTCTCAAAGCCTGTTTAGAGCAAGTTCAGGCATTTAGGCATCTTCAAACATTTGGCAGGCACACAGTGCACACTCGGGAACAGGACTGCATGTCCCAGACCTGTTCCCATTCCCCAGGTTCTCTTCTTGTAAGCAAGACAGCTAACAGAGCTACTGCTTTCCTCCTCCTGTTAAAACCTAATGGCTTAAACATCTGCCTATGTAACTAGCCAGCAGCCACAGTCACAGAAAAAAAGCAGTTAAGACAGCAGGGCAGGCAAGTCTAACTTTCAGCTCAGAACTGCCTAGTAGTCTGGTGTTTCCAAGCACTCACTCACTAGTAAAGCAATGGAATCTTTCTCACGAGCCCATCACTTGCTTTGTTTGCTGTTTTCCCCATGAAGAGTTATGTTACACTAAACTGGCTTTACAACACTACTTGCTTTCTGCTGTTCCAAATTATTTCCTTAAAGTAATTCACAAAACCTTGCAGTGAGCTTAAGAAGCAATGGCAAACTTGACATTTTATGTTCCTATGACAAGGCAGTTGAGTTCTCTACAAAACAAGCATAGCTAACACCACTAAATCTAAGGTAGGTGAACCAGTTCTGTTCTAGTTACCCTCACCCCACAGCAAACCACCTAGGGCCAGGCATCCTCTTCTTACACGAGTACCTTCTATTGGCCAGTCAGCCAATTATCAACTTACTACCCATCTCTAGATTTTGGGCTGAGTGCCACACGGATCACAGCAATGCAGTATGTTTAGGTACAGTCAGCTGCTTCTGGGAGAGGACTCGCAGGGAAATTAATCCCCTTCTAGCATGGAGACAGGCAACAAGCCTAGTTCCACATTAGGACAACCCATAGCTCCACTCCTTACCTTGATGTCCTGCAAGAAGATGCGCCCGCCCCTCTGATTCTGCAGCTTCATCAGTTTCTCAGCATGCTCACGTTCCTCGTGGGACTGATGCAGGAAATACTTGGCAAAGTTTTTCAGAGCCACATCATCCCGGTCGAAGTAGTAGGACTGAAAAATAAGAATTCATACAGTCAAGCCCCCAGGCCTCACTCCAGCAACCACACAAAGTCAAATCCATACTGCAACTTCAGATCTGTCCCCTGTCAGCGCTGCTTTCAGGGTGGCTGGAGTCTAAGGCCAGCAGCAGCACTGACATCAAGGCAGGCTGGCAAAACTCTTCCTTTAGGGAAAGTTACATTCTCCTAACTAGGATTAAATTTTAACTTGTATGCCTACCATGAACACAAATAAATGTTCTTTCTGGTTCAGTTCTTAAGATACAAAAAAACCTCGCACCCCATAAGATTACTGTTCTGAGCATCAATCAAATGCCTTAGATACAGCAGACTTGAAAAGCCTTTTTCAAGAAGGAAGAATGTTCCTGCTCCTTTTGTTTGCCTGAGTTTGTTTACAATGATCACAAACTGATGCTCTGACTTGCAATACCAAACGTGACCGAGTTCAAGGTAATTGTGTAATAAAACTCCTGTGGTTCCCCAGGATTATGACGGATTAGAATATGAAGTACAATTCCTATTTTTTTTGGGGGGAACACATATAAAAGACAAAAAGAACTAAAATATACATTCAACAGCAAGTACAAGACTGCTTGATTTTTTTTTTTTTAAAGCCAAAACCCTGTAACAGCAGTTAGAAGACATCACACTGCTTGTTTGTTCTTTGGTCAGAGCCATTAGGCAGGGTTCAATCAGAAGCTTTGTATCGGATGCCAGTTATTTAACCAAGCTGCTGCAGAAATCTCTGCTCTTAAATCAGAAGCTTGCCTGGGAGGCTGGAGGAAACACACTGGGTACTTATGTACCACTATCATCCACCAACATAATTACATTCAACTCATGAGGTTCAGACCTTCATGGTAACAGAATCAAGCTGTGAAGCCCTACAACTCCATGCCAGAACATACTACCGTATCACCATAAAGTCTCAAGTTACCTAAACATCTAAAGCACCAGGATTGCTGCACAGATGTCAGACCTGCTGGTTACACCAAAGTTACTCATCTCTGCTATAGCTAAAATGAGAATCGCACACCATGTGAAGCATGTGAGCACAGAGCTAAGGAAGCCTCGTATTCCTACTGATTCATTTCAAAACACTATGGACTATGAAAAACCTCGCCTCAAGAGACAAGAACGCCTGTGGGAAAGGTGCCAATCGCTTCGTTACTCAACTCCTGCTATCCAGCCCAGCCCCAAGGGCAGCGCCGCTTGGAAGCTGCTGAGCTGTGCTGATAACGAGTCCGCCAAGGGCAACGGACGGAACGCGGTTAACGTGTAACTGCAGCCCGGCACCGAGATAAAGGCCTCACCTATAGGAAACAAGCGGCCGCCCCACCCCCAAGGCAGGCTAAGAACGCCCCTCAGGCGATGGGGGGAGGAGGAGCGTGGCTGCTCCTGCAGGCACCACCCGGCACTCGGAACCCCGCTCCCCGCCGGCCAACCGGGGCACCGTGCGAGATCCCAGGCTGCACCCTGGTGTAGAGCGGGCAGCGCCGGGGGTCTGCAGGCCCACAGCCGCAGCCTTTATCCCTTCCCTCATACCCGTCCCGTTCCCCAGGGAGGCCTCGCACTAAAGTTGCGATGTTCCTCCCCCCACCCCAACAGAGCCTAAGCACAAGGCGGGCTCGGTCCCCCGGGGGAGAGGCCGCATGGGGCCTGGCCTAAGCCTACCGCGCCGCTACCAGAGGCGCTCAAGTAGGCCTGAAGCCCCCCTCTTCCCATTAACCTCCCCTCTCCCTTTAACCCCACCCCGGCCGAGCTCCTCTCGGCCGATCCACTCACCATGCTAAGGTACACATAGGAAGCGTAGAGCTCCAGGTTGATCTGGCGGTTGATGGCGGCTTCGCAGTCCTGGTGGTAGTTCTGACGCACCTGAGAAGTGGGAGCTGCCATGGCGCTGCCTTTCGGTGGGGTGTGTGTCGGTGAAATCCGGCTGGGTGATGAAGGCGGTTAGCGGTGGCGGCGGGCCCGAGCGCGGCCGGTTCCGTCCAAGCACTGTTGAAGCAGGAACCCGCTCCGCTCTGCCTCACCGACGAGCTCTAAGGGCCTACCGCGCCGCGAGAACGCTTTTATACCGGCGCTGCCGTCATCCCGCACGGCCACGCTCCGCCCTCCCGCCTCTCTTCTGCTGGCCTAGCGTGACTCAGCACTTTCAGCGCCCGCCATCGCGGCCTCGGGGCAGGCCGGCGTCCCCAGCCTCCATCCCCCGCCGGTGTAGGCGACCCCCGTCTCGGCCTAAGCGTGGAGACCCGGGGTGTCTGTGCGCCAGAGCGCGGGGCTCGGTCCCCACCTGAGGGAGCAGGCCTCTCCCAGAGGTGCGCCCTGCGGCCATGTTGTGTGGGGTTGGCTGGTGGCCCTGGGGAGGAGTGCCATGGGTGCGAGCACCGCTGCAGGCACAAAGGCTGGTGGGAAAGCAGCGTTTCTTGCCTTCAGATAAGATGTTGGCCTGATGGGGAGGTTTGGCAGAGAAGGTTATAGTGAGTTCAAACAATGGTATACATCATCAGAGGGGCCTTAAAGCTCATACAGCTCCAACCCCTGCCATGGGCAGGGGCATCCTCCAGTACAGCAGGGTGCTCCAAGCTCCTGTGTCCAACTTGACCTTGAACATTGCCAGGGGTGGGGCAGCCACAGCTTCTCTGGGCACCCTGTGCCAGCGCCTCAGCCACAGTCACAGGGAAGAGCTTCTGCCTAAGAGCTCAGCTCAGTCTCTCCTTGGGCAGGTTCAAGCCATTCCCTTTGGCCTGTCCCTACAGGCCCTTGTCCCAAGCCCTCTCCAGGTTTCCTGGACCCCTTTAGGCACTGGAGCTGCTCTAAGGTCTCCCCTTAAGGAGCTGAACAACTGAGTAACCAAATAAAGAAGTAATTGATAAAGGTCAAATGGAAAAAAAATGAACCTTCTGATAATGATTATTTCAGCCACTTTTATTACCACTGCAGACACTCGAGTTTGTATGGTTTATTTTCAATAAACATTGGATTATTTTCCTTTCTGAAATTTCAAGTAGATTATTTGAATTTGGGAATCCTGGGGTAGTGGTTGGACTTTATGATCTTAAAAGTCTTTTCCAGCCTAGCTGACTCTGATTCTGTAAGTTGTATGGTTCTGTAAGTTCTCCATCCCTGGCAGTGTTCAAGGCCACACTGGACGAGGCCTTGGGTGATACGGTTTAGTGCAAGGTGTCCCTGCCCATGGCAGGGGGGTTGGAACTGGATGATCTTAAGGTCCTTTCCAACCCTAACTATTCAATGATTGTATGATTCTGTAAAGTGGAACCTTGAGAGCTAGAAATATCCTACTTAAACCAAGATCATCTCGTAACATCAGGCTTACAAGGTCTTGGCTTTTACTAAGCCAACGTTCATGCTGAAATACTACAAGTTAACTGAGCCTGTACACTTGAATTGAGTTTCTTGTAACCAGTTCCTCCTTTAAGGTATTACTGGGTGTTTGAACCTTCCTGGCAGTGCATAGTGTCCTATGCGTGACTGCACAGGCGTCTGTCTGCGTGTGAAGGGCAACACAAGGATTGTGTCAGCATAACAGCACTTCTCAAGGTTCTCTGAACGCCTGAAGGAACCAGCAGGCAATGGTTTCATTTGCCTTCCTGTTTTCAGTTGCTTCTGTCAGTTAACCATCAGAAGTAATTAAGATCTATATGTTAACTTGGGGCATACCTATCGCTTCGGGCTGCCAGGTACATTTGAAATCTCCTGTACTCCTCCCACACAAATGCTTATGTAAAGATAAAAAGTCTTAATGGCTGGGCGGACCTGCATTACTGTTTTCATACTGTAGTATTTCTACCAGCTTGCAGGTACTTCAAACCAACTTTGTGTTTGGCTGAAAAGGCTTGCCAGAAGCTTAGAGTTGTACTCCTGAAGCACAGACTCTTGCTTAACCTGACTTTATATATATATGTGTGTGTGTGTGTGTGTGTGTGTGTATACACAGGCTGGGGGAAGAGTGGCTGGAAAGCTGCCCATGGAAAAGGACTTGTGGGTGCTGACTGATGGAGCTGAACATTAGCAGCTTGTGCCCAGGCAGCCAAGAAGCCACCAGCATCTTGGCCTGCACCAGCACCAGTGTGGCAGCAGAGCCAGGGCAGGGACTGTGCCCCTACACTGGGCACTGGTGAGGCTGCACCTAGAATCCTGTGTTCAGTTCTGGGCCCCTTATTACAAGAGAGACCTTGAGGTGCTGGAGCAGGGCCTGGAGCCCAAGTGTGATGGGGAAGGGCTGAGGGACCTGGGGGGTTCAGTGTGGAGAAGAGAAGGCTCAGGGGGGACCTGATGGCTGCCTCCAACTGCCTGACAGGAGGATGGAGCCAGGAGGGGCTGGGCTCTGCTCCCAAGGAACAAGGGATGGGACAAGAGGAACTGGCCTCAAGCTACACCAGGGGAGGTTGAGACTGGAGATTAGGAACAATTCCTTCCCAAAAGGGTGGTCAGGCATTGGAACAGGCTGCCAGGGCAGTGGTGGAATCACTGTCCATGGAAGTGTTAAACTATGTAGACAAGGTCCTTATTGACATGGTTTAGTGGTGGCCTCTGCAATCCTGAGATAACAGTTGAACTTGATGATCTTAAAGGTTTTTCCATCCTAGTTGATATTGGTGGTTCACTGCAGAGTACATCTCAGTATTCCAGAAAGACTAACCTTGAACCTACAAATTGTTTTATGACAAGGCTGTGCGATGGCACAGTTTGTAAGCAAAACAACAGAAATTGCATTAATAATAGGGGTATTTCCTCTGTAGCTTGGACAGCCTGTGCCACCCGTGATTCAATGTCAGTAAGATTAGGGAAGTCCTATATTCTGCTTTTTGGATCAGCTGCAAGTTGCACAATGCACATTATCTTTGAAGACAGCAGATTTATGTGGCCAGAAGAGGAAACACTGGGTTGTGCAGCCATGTGTCATGGTATCTTTGTGACCGACGTGAAGAGTTCTCAGTGTGATGGTCTTACAAGAGTTTATGTTCAGCCATAGCCGGACCTTTTCTATCAACTGTGCAACTCACTCTCTCAAACTACTGTCACATTGTGTTTTAATTTTGACTTTATTTCATGCTGTTTTCTTATGGTTTGGTTTAAGCCACCTTTTATCTCATGCTTTTCATGCTTTTATAAGCATTCCTGGGAAGAAGTAATGCTAACAGCATTACCACACTCAGGCTGAACAGCACATCAAATGACATTCACATTAATGGCAAAGCTCATTTGTTGCACCTTAAAACACTTCACACACTACTTTCAATCATATTATTTTCAGTAGGTAATAGTTAATTGCATGCCTGACTGTTACTTATTAAACTATTGGAATTAGAGGGAAAATCCAGGCCTTTCTCATTGAAATCCAATAGACTAAAGATAGGAAAAAGAGCCTGGTAATTCAAATTCTTCTTTCAGTACACTTTAACATACCAACTCACAGCTGCCCAGGGACTGATCAATCCTCTCAGCTGCACACACAGCAGTGCTTTGAACTCATGTTGGCTCTCAGCTGCTTGGTCTGAAGTAGAGGCATCCTTCATGCTGCCCACAGGCAAAAGGCAGCGTATTGTCTGCCTACATAAGCTTCAAATTGTTGAAGACGATCTCTGTTTTCCCTTGGACAAGATCCCATTAGAGACAATGGCGCAAGCTCTCTTGTTTACAACTTACAGAGCATAGACCCTAACACCAGCCAATTTAGGGACAGCAATGTTTAGCTTCCTTACAGGACAGCTGGAGAGGACAACTGGAATGTGCAAAAATCATCACAGCTTCTCTGATGAATGTTTCCATATATATAAAGAAGATTATTAAGTCAGGGAACTGGTGGTCAGTGGACAAGGTATACCTAGATGCAGAAAAATCCACCAAGATTCTGCTTGTACACACCTCAGAGTATCTCAGCAGAGTAGCATGTATCATGTGTGTGTTTATGAGAATCCCAAACTGGTTTGTGTTGGAAGGGACCTTAAAGCTCATCAAAGTCCCAACCCCTGCCACAGGCAGGGACCCCTTCCACTGGAGCAGGTTGCTGCAAGCTCCTGTGTCCAACTTGACCTTGAACACCGCCAGGGATGGGGCAGCCACAGCTTCTCTGGGCACCCTGTGCCAGCGCCTCAGCACCCTCACAGGGAAGAGCTTCTGCCTAAGAGCTCAGCTCAGTCTCCCCTCAGGCAGGTTCAAGCCATTCCCCTTGGCCTGTCCCTACAGGCCCTTGTCCCAAGCCCCTTCTCCAGGTTTCCTGCAGCCCCTTTAGGCACTGGAGCTGCTCTAAGGTCTCCCCTTCAGGAGCCTTCTCTTCTCCAGGCTGCCCCAGCGCAGCTCTCTCAGTCTGGCTCCAGAGCAGAGCTGCTCCAGCCCTCGCAGCAGCTCCATGGCCTTCTCCAGACTTGCTCCAACAGCTCCAAGTCGCACTTGTGTTGTTGCCCCCAAAGCTGCATGCAGTACTCAAGGTGGGGTCTCAGTAGAGTAGAGGGGGAGAATCCCCTCCCTTGACATGCTTGCTGTATGCATCCATCTGTCTGTCTGTGAGAGTCCCTGCCTCAGCCAAGTATAAGTAGTTCGGGAGCCTGGACTGGGGTTTAAGAGGTGAAGACGTGGTTACAGTGAGTTTCCACAGACATGGCCATGCACAGCACCATGTAGCAGAGCATCTTAATGTGGGTACAGTGTAGGGTATGGTATTAAAAAAGGGAAAGCTTCCATGACTCTTACACTCTCTTTAGTATCGTTCTACCTGTGCCTATCTTACCAAATAACAGCAATGATCTTACTGTGAGCTGAAAACATGACTTTAAAACAAATACTGAACAGTATTTGCCCAAAGTAAATTCTGAGCTTGGACCGATGATCTTAAAGGTCTTTTCCAACCTCATTGAGTCTGATTCTGTGAAAAACACAAGCTGGATTTTTGCTGAGATCATCCTTGAACTAAAACTTAGCATGTGACTTAGGCAGCCAGCTGGACCTTCAACAAGAGGGCTCCCTTGATACGAGCAGAGAGAGCTTGCTGCAGTTGGGCAATGCTCAGGAATGCACTAAGTTTTATTGATCATCCA